CCCCAAAACCCCAAAACCCCAAAACCCCATCTATCAAAGAAATCGAAGAATTTTTTAATTAAATATGCTTAAGAGATTTGAAATGAATTACTAAAATAATAGGTAAATTTGAGTAGATTTTATAAGTATTTAATTTATCATGAAAAGTTAATACTAAAACATTGTTAATACTCCTAGATAGCAGCCGTAAAAATATTAAAGATCATTCTCACAAATTTTCGTTAATGAGGAGAATACCTTCTAATAAAAAGGACTGGGACTATTAGTTGCTGCAACAATATCAGCCACTTATTTCTTAGCAATGCCTTATATTGGTAAAGAATACATCTGGCCTCGATTCTTAGAGTTAGATGACTATTTGCAGTGGCCTAAATGGAAGATGTATTTTGTGATCTCAATGATTTTTACTCTCACTTTTATTCCATTTGCTAACTTTGTCTACTACTTGATCTATCATTTTGAGCTACCTTTCTTTGAATAATATAAGGTAACAGCTACACCTTGGCCTTGGCAAGAAAACAAAGAAGAATGGAATAAACTTTTAACTAAAGCTTTCAAGCTCTACTTTTTCAACTATTACATTGTTGTTCCTATTGGATATTTTTACGATGTTTATGATTCCGGATTTGATCCAAAGTTTAGATTCGATCTTGAATCTTTCCCAACTACTACAGAGATATTCAGCTAGGTATGTATAATGATGCTTGTTGAGGATTTCAGCTTCTACTTTATTCACTGGTTTATGCATAATAGATATATCTATCCATATGTTCACAAAAGACATCATGAATTTAGAGTAAATGTCGCTTGCTGCTTCAATTACTTCCACCCTATAGACCTCTTTTTAGAAGGAATGTTACCCACTGCTATTGGTCATGCTATCCTTGGTAAGAGAATGCATTACTATACATATTTTTGCTGGTATATATTCAGAGTTCTAGAATCAATGGATGGCCATTCCGGTTACGAATTTCCATGGAGCCCATTCAGACTCATTCCATTCTCAGGATCGTCAACTTATCATGATTTTCACCACTCAAATAATATTGGTAACTTCTGTTCCTTCTTCACATTCTGGGATACTGTCTTTGGAACAAATTCAACTTTTTATGCCTATTAAGATAGGTTAAAGAAGGAAAAAGCTTTATAGGAAAACAAGACACCCGGGGGAGGTCATAGTATTTAATAATAAACAGGAGACGTCAAAAGCAGCAAAATAGATTGAGATAATCTCGAATCAAAGATATGCAATTCATGCTAATTAATATTCCATATAAAATTTAAAAACCTTACTATATTTGATAAATTAAGATGATGGGGTTTTGGGGTTTTGGGGTTT